ATCGTACCCAGTACCTAGCCTTTCAGCGTGCTCAGTCACGAAGTGGGCACCAGCTGACTGAGGAGGTAGGGAGTAACTGGTCCATCGCTGGGCAGGAGGGAGGGTGGAACACTGCGCGATATGAAAGCTCCTGACGGTCGCTAACCACCTTGCTGCTGCCCCAGAACATCTCCCCTTCCTACTTGTGCGCAGGACCCCAGCAAGATCACTGCGACGCCAGCCCCTCCTGTCAGCAGCTCGGAGAAGGAAAAGCAAAGCAAGTCACAGCAGCTGAGAAAGATTTTCCAAGAGTATGGTGCCGTCGGCGTGTCACTGCACATCGGAATCTCTCTGATCTCCTTGGGGATATTTTACATGGTGGTTTCAAGGTAAGAGCTCTGGCAGGAACATCTCTTTGTTCTTTACGGTCATGTAGGATTCTTTGCAAATGAGAACATTTTTCCTATGAATGTGTATTCGTCTAGCTGCTTCCAGCATGTTTTTTAAATACTTTAAATCTGGGCACCTGGGTGGCTCATGGGTTAAGCCTCTGCCTTCGACTTAGGTCATGATCTCGGGGTCCTGGGATCAAGCCCCGCATCGGGCTCTCTGCTCAGCGGGGAGCCTGCTTCCCCTTCTCTCTCTGCCTGCCTCTCTGCCTACTTGTGATCTCTCTCTCTCTCTGTGTCAAATAAAATCTGAAAAAAAAAATAAATAGTTTAAATCTTAGAGCCACATCGATCGCCTAATTTAACCCCTTGTGATAATCCTTTTTGTTGTCGATGGTCTCCTTCCGCAGTGGTGTGGACATGTCTACAATCCTTCTCAAACTCGGATTTAAAGAGTCACTGGTGCAGTCGAAGATGGCAGCAGGCACAAGCACCTTCGTCGTGGCCTACGCCATCCACAAGCTGTTTGCCCCCGTGCGAATCAGCATCACCTTAGTGTCCGTGCCCTTCATCGTCAGATATTTTCGCAAAGTGGGATTTTTTAAACCTCCAGCTGCAAAGCCTTGATGAACGCTTCAAACCTGTTTCTTTTAAATAGAAATTTTGGGTTAGTTTTAGGATAGAGCTTTTCCGGGGTGGGGGGGAGGTTAGGAGTAGGGTGGGGACAGGAAGCTAATTGCTATGTTCTTATGAATAAGTTTTCCCTTTGCAACAAAATTCAGGTTTTTTAATAATTGTAATTATTTTGCTTTACAAATGTTGTTAACGCTGTTCCTCATAGGATTTGTACGCGTAATCTAAAATGTCAGTGAAACGTCACAAATTGAGTTGCCATCTCAAACAAAACTGTTTGCCTACAGACGGTCCTTCTGGAAGATGACTGTTGAGGTTCTAGTCTGCGCAAGCCCTCAGGGGTTAATCTTCACTCAAATTCTTAAAGGGCAACGATTCATTAAGCCGGTTTTTAAAATTCCCCTTCCTCCAGTATCTGCTGTCAGGCCGCCTGCAGTTTCATACGCAGTATCTACAAAGCAGCTGCCAGTGTTACCGTTAATGAAGCCGAATTTAAGACTTAACAATATGTAATCAGGATCTAAATTAGCATCAACGCTTCGACATTCATTACCCTTCTTTTAGGGAGGAAGAATAACCAAGTATCTCTGGTGTTTCATCGATGCTAAAACACCTTCCAGTCTGGACATTCTCAAATTTCACTGAAGTAGGTCAAGGTCATTTGTCTCTGTTGGGGTAAAAAATGGAAATTCTGTTCAATAGTAATGGCATCACATGGCTCCTGACGGCCTAATCCACAGGTGAGCTTGGACACTGCACTCATGGAAAGCGAAGACAATCTTTGCTTAACCCTCTATCTCTCAAACGTCAGACATTCCAGAACTATCATCACCATGTTTACATTGTGTTGCTACTTATATTTTTTTGAGTTGAAATTGTTATGTAGAAAAATATTTTATATCACTCTCTAAAAAGGAAAATGAGAGGCAGTTGCTGTAAAAGGGAGGCAGCTGGGAAATACAACATAATACAAGCTGGGGAGGGAGGGGGCGGGCAGGTGTAATTACCTTCTGTTGAGCCACTTTTATCTGATAAAGGAGGTTTGACCTGAGCTTCCCATCACCCCCCCCCTTGCTGTGAGGGACATTATTAGTTAAAAACAGAAACAAGCACACAGATTCAAATGGACATTTTTGTCCCTGGAATGCTTAGGAGCAGGCAGACTGGAGGGAATGCCTTTCTGTGGGATTCATGTAATGCTCCCTTCAGGGCTGTATCCACCCTCAGCACTGTCCACACTGGGACCCCCATTCAACCAGTTCTGCCCTGCCAGCTTGGTCCAGGGAGATCCACTTTGTGGGGGGAGGGTTAATTACAGAAAGGACAATCAGAAGATTAAAGGAACTAGAAATTGACCATCGTGGTTTTACCACCCCGCTGCTGACCGTTCCCTGATTAAGCCTTCGTAACCTATGTCCGTTACTTCAGTTAACTTTTACAAGAAGCTTTATGGAACAAATTCTCCACTTGCAAGATCGTTAAAAGTGGATTCTGGGCCCCCGTCACGGCCGCCCTTTTAAAGCAATTAGCCCATTGCCAAAAGGTTTTATCGATTTCAAGTTGGAACTGCCTTTCTGGGATCTAATTCCAAGGACAGTTGGCTTCATGCTCCTAACCACCTTCTCGACAGTCTCCCTACCACTCAGATCCCTAGTAATGCCTATGCAAAAAAAAAAAAAGCTGACAGTGAGTCCTACAGGTTCAAGGGCTGAAATCTTAAACTTTGACTCCACGTTTGGAGGAATGGAAGTGGGACTGACAGGAAAGCAATAAAACTAGTCACCAAACCAAACAGCCATGGCCTTTTCTTCTAAGCCCCACCTCTGCTCCACTCCTGCGGCCAGTGGCCCCAGCAGAACAGAGAACCTGGAGAAGATGAGATCAAAGGATCAGGGAATATGTGACTTCCACCAGCGAGATGTACAGAATGCTTGTATTTACACTGTTTTTATGGAACTAGGAAATAAAACATGATCTATTTTAAAAATGTAAGCCATTGTTCACCCGATTTTGTATTTGACCAAATGAGCCGCTTAAATTCCCTGAAATAAACATCTTTGTAGTGTACGAAGAACTTTGGATTCCTCGTTTGGTTAAGCCATAACTGTTGCTGACTAGGAAGCAGCCCTGTGTGTGACTGGTTTGTCAATGGTGCGCTACTACAATGAGCTACTTCTTTGCTCGTGTGGGATTCTGGGGAAATGACAAGTTTATCTGGTGTCACTGGTAAAGTTGGTCATGTCATATTAACTATCACTTGGGTGGATGGCACATGAAAGACTACTTTGGGAATGTAGAAGTTGGTTAACTCAAGACTGAAAAAGCTCCTTTATCCCGAGGGAGCTAACCAGATGGACACCTGCAGCTTTACTCAGTTGTGTTCTGAAGCTTCTGTCACAGTGTCACCAAAGCTGACATGGAAGTAGTCATTTCTCGTATCTAGTTACTTTTGTTGAACAAAGTCAGCCATGAAAGCATAGCTCTGTATTAGTTTTCAGGAACTTCAGCATTTCCAAGGTCAAGTTCACCCTCTTTGGTCAAGGAGATGATGGCAGCTAGAAACAGATATGTGGCTTTATGCACTAGGAGCACATAGTACACGAGATCGGAAAGGGATACACCGGCTCCTTTCGTGGCACCTGCTCATTTCCAGGCCAACAGTGAACCGATAATGAACAGAATTACCCGTGCAGCCTAGATGTATTTGCGTCCTTATTTTTAAAGTTTATTAAAAAAAAGTTTATATACGTGCCATAACTCCAAAGTAATAAATTTTAATAACTTGCCAGGTGTCCCTTGGGAGCCAGATAACAAGGGGAGCAAAGGAATCCTCTACCAGGGGTACTGAAGGGGCAGCAGGCTTGATCCCCCATGGCTGGAAATGAGGGATTCTATTAAGCAAACATTCCTTCAGAGAATTAAGACCCATGCTTGTAAAATCAGTTTGCAAAGAACTAGTTTACCCCACATGTAAAGCTCTTTGCATCTTACTGAAAACGTGGTCTTCTATGTCCATACCTCGTGTCCAAACGAGGTATGGACATAGAAGTTGAAGACTTCCTCTGTCCTGACCACCTGCAGCTCTAGTGAACCCTGAAAGTTCCCAGGCCAGGCCAGCTGTACCCACGTCTGTGAACTACTGTGGACGCAACAGCGATTCCCCAGGGTGAGGAACCACCCAAGACTCCAGCTCCATGGTCCGGAGCCTACAACAGAACTCACACTTCCTGGCACATAGGACAGTATCCAGGATAGAGAAAGGGTGCTGGCTTCATGCTCCTAACCACCCCCACATCCTGACTCCTGGTTCCCCCTCCACCACCCAGTCACACAGCCCTGTGCTGCCATGTTTCCTACTGCTCCCACCCTGGGCTACGGGGACCTCTTGCCGTCCCTGCCTCCACCCTTTCAATCCTCCCTGTCCCTCAAGTCTGGCTCAGATGCCACTCCCTCTGGCTGGTGTCACTGGTAAATTATGATTACCCATCATAATTCGTGGGCTCCCTGACCTTTCCCTCTTCCCCGCCTCTGGTTGGTGGCTACCCTACTAAGTCATGTCCCCAGTTGTCAGAGGGGATATGCTCACAGGCCAGACCAGCTCCAGAACTGCAGCCCTGGCAGCACCACAGAGGGGGCCTTCCCACCCTCCCAGTGGGCCCACGCTCCGCCTGGCATTTCTCAAAGGGTAGAATGAGCTGCAAAATGCATTATCATTTCAAAGTTAGACACAGGAGAACATGAAGTGTAATCATTTTATAGGTGACTTAATGTGCTTTACAAAAATTAAAACCTCAAAACCATGAAATAAGCCCTTTAACATTTAGAAACAGCTGAGACAGGTCTTCTCTAGCCAGCCCCAAGATGAGGGCAGAGCGCACGCTTCTGTATCACAAAGTCTCGGGGGCGACGAGAACTCGCTAACCAGGCTTCAGTGCTCTTGTCTGGCAGACGTGTTGGAACAGAGCGCGGTCCTCAAGGGATGCCATGGAAATGAAGATAGAAGTCGACAAAAAATCTTTATTTTAACATTAAAAGAAAGAATCACATGTTCATCCTGACGGCTTTCCCAGGCTTGGCCACCCAATAAGTTACACACACACGAAGGGCTCAGAAGGTTATTGCACGCCTGTGTCACTGACGGAGTCACGGTGATGTGGCCCCTCTCCCCGCAGTCAGACCCCGAGCCGGTCCCCCCTCCACAGGGAGGCCTCGCTCCAGCCAGGCTGTGGGGAGGCTCCAGGTGAACCTCGCTTCCGGGTTGTGAAACTAGTGACACTGTCCATTCCTGTGGCTCCTTTCACTCCAAAGCAGTGTTCGCTGGAGTGCACTCTTGGGTGGGGAGACTGAGGCAGCGCCTGCTCAGCAGGCCTTTGTCGGAAGTGCCCTCGGGCACGGGGGAGGCCTGTTGTGACACCAGATGGCAGCCCTGCCTCTCAGAGTCCTCCCCGTGCACCATTCTTAAGATTGTTTGCTAGTTGATTCTTTGCTTTTTTGGCTACTTGATGGTTTTGATGAATTCGCTATGATCCAGGGGTGTTCTAGTACTTCTTTGAGAGTCGGCCTTTGGCTGGGATTATGTTTCAACAGTCTTGAAATGAGGTCCCTGGCTCCTTCCGGCACAAAGTCAGGGAATGTGAATTCAACCTGGAGTACAACAAGTTGACAGTCACAAAACGCGGCTCAGAACAGTGCGGCTAGCCGGCTCACAGGCACAGTTAAGGCTGATAAGAATTCTACCACAAGCAACGAATCATTTCCCATTAGGTCTTACCCGTGATATTCTTTTGTAGGTCTCTTGGTACGTGCTTGCCTCAAAAGGTGGCTTCCCAACGAGAAATTCATAGCAAAGAACCCCAAGGCTCCAGAGATCTACCTTCTCATCATGCATTCGGCCTTCAATCATCTCTGGGGGCAAGTAATCCAGGGTGCCACAGAGGGTGGTTCTCCTAAAAACAGAGGCAGGCTCAGCGTGGTGTGCTCTTGTTCGTATCAGCATAAGAGTGGCTAAACGCCATTCACAGTGACACTAACATTGAGTGCGCGCTCCTCCTAGGCCACATCCTGCGCTACGAGGCAAGTAATTTAAATCCCCGGTTTGAGGGGCGCCTGGGTGGCTCGGTCAGTTGAGTGTCCAACTCTCGACTGCGACGACTCAGATCACGATCTCAGGGTCGTGAGATCAAGCCTCACATCGGGCTCCACGCTTAGTGGGAGTTTGCTTGAGATTCTTTCTCTCCCTCTCCCTCTGCTCCTCCCCGCCCCGCTGGCTCGCACGTGTGCACATGCTCTAAAATAAACGAGTCTTTAAAAAAATAAATCCCCCATTTTAGATAGAAAACAGATGGAGAGATGTGCAACATCACACAGCTAGCAACCAAGTCACACCCCAAAGGTGTCCAACTCCAGAACCTTCTTAAATGATCTAAAAAATGAGAAACTTCAAGAATCCCTACTACATACAGCAGCCATCAAAATTCTCTGTGAATACAGTTTAGAGTTCCAGATTTGTTTTTACATTACAGACAGGCTAAGCAGCTCAACAGCCAGGGGGCGTGAGTGACGAGAAACTACAAACTGTGCCACTGAGGAAGCTCGAGCTTTGGCCTCGGATACATGCTGCCTCTACCAAAGAGACACTTCAATTTGGGGGTGACCTATGAGGAATTCTTGCCAAAAATACTATGTAGGCCTTTTTACCGACTTCCAATTCTCAGCAATTACAGAGGATGAAGGACCAAGTAACACCATTTTAGGTGAGAAAAGTCCATTTTAAATTGTGGGACAACTGGTGCAAACTTAGACCAAAGAAACACAATCAAATACAACACCCGGATGGACCTTGGCTGGTGCCGACTTAAAAGAACAGCTCTAAAATTTTGCCGCCAACAAGGGAAATTGGATCATGGGCTAAACAGATACTAACAAGGCAGTTAATTTTCTTGGGAGTCACAATGGTTGTGGTTAGGAGGACAACGTCTTTATTTCTAGGAGATACATACTCAAGTGCTCAGAGAAGGAAGCATGAGGTGTGCAACTTATTTTTGAAGGTTCACCAGAAAAACAGACCCCGCCAAATACAGCAAGTGTGCTGTGCGGCCATACGTATGGCGAAATGTGGCCACCTGCTGAATGCAGGCGCCGGATGGACAGTGAGCAGCCAACCACCAGCTCGGCATTTCCGTATGTTTGATTTTTAACAACGAAGCCTGGAAGTAAGCTGAGGGTGGCACACATTGAACTAGGAGCAAACACCATGTAGGTTTCATTGTTTTCTAACAGTTATTCTTTGCCGTTGCCTCTTCTAGGGGGTCATGCCGAGGCTGGTCACCACGCTGGCACCCCAAGAGCACACGAGTGCACTGAGCTCAGTGGTGACCCGCGGCCTGGGATGAAGGCTCTATGTCTCCAGACCTCTATCCCCGCAGCACCACGGAGATGGCAGAAATGGCTCGAGTCAGAGGGTCTCAAGCACCACCACACCTGGGAGCTCTTACGGGTGCTCCCGTCGGGGGAGGTGGGGCGAGGTGAGCATCTACGTGCATGCAACTTATCAGTAGGTGTAGGTTTTTAATGTTCTACCTCACGAGGCCTCAAAAGCTTAATCAAACCCAAATTATATTAAAACAGTGTTTTAGCTCTTGTTTGCAAAGATTTAAATTGTTTCGTTAGATTTCTCACTCTGTTAAGAGGCGACACGGAAGGACTCTGCTGTTGACAAAGGCAGACCACAGAGAATCCTCACCACCACCCTGAAAGTTCTATCCAAACCAATTTGGTTTTGGAAATTCCCCCAGAGAACTGTGCTCCCAGTTCTAGCTGTGTGTGTGTGTGCTGCCCCGGAACTGGTCTGTCCAGGAATCAGCAGAGTCTCCCCTTCCCACCGCTGCAGTCATCACCCCCTACACACATCCTGCACTTCCGTGGTCATGTATTCATCACATAGGCCCCCTTCATTAGCCTCTAAAGACATCCAGCATCTTTAACCCAGGCCGAGGACACATTAAATAGCCTCAAAATAGTTGCAGAATTCTCAAAGACACTTCTATCGGGCCCAAGTTACTCCAAAGTGTGTGCCGTCAGTTACCTGCCCCGAATGCACACATCTATGCTCAAGTGTTTTTCTATTTAGTTCCTGAAAGTCCCCAGGGCTTTTGCTAAAGTAAGTTCGTTCCACCTGTAAAGGTACGTACCTGGAGGATGGGGCGTGTACCGACCACCCGAAGTCTGCGATCTTAAGCTCTCCAGCCGATCCAAGGAGTAGGTTCTCTGGCTTAATGTCTCTATGAATGACTCTTTTTGAGTGACAGTAAGACAGGGCATCTGCCAACTCTGTGATATACTATTTTAAAAATAAAAAAGTATGGAAAGTCTGTATCTTATATTTTATGTAACACAATTTTAGACATCTCTTCTGAAAGGAAGCCCAACATAGATTTAACAGGTTTTGTAAATTTTGAAGCAAAAGCTAGAAACAATTGAGGACTCTTTTTTTAATTTTTTAAAGATTTTTATTTATTTATTTGACAGACCAAGATCACAAGTAGTCAGAGAGGCAGGCAGAGAGAGAGGAAGAAGCAGGCTCCCCGCTAAGCAGAGAGCCCGACGTGGGGCTCGATCCCAGGACGCTGGGATCATGACCTGAGCTGAAGGCAGAGGCTTAACCCACTGAGCCACCCAGGCGCCCCAACAATTGATGACTCTTAAAAAAATTTTTTTTGAACCAAATTAGTGTTTAGCATAAAACACTAGTTATCCTATACTAAGTTATTTATTTGCTAATACAGCAGACAGGATACTGAAGGAAGAGGGAAAAACTGATTAGCTAGAACTCATCACCACATGGCGATTTATGGCCTAATAGCAATGAATTATGATAATACTGAGAAACTGGCACAAATCAGGGAGTCAGACATGTAAACAATTAAAAAAATTTTTTTTTAAACTTGCAAGTAGTCAATTCCCATTTTAAAACCAAGATCAGGGGCAGACTGGGTGGCTCAGTTGGTTAAGCATCGGCCTTCAGCTCGGGTTGTCATCTTGGGGTCCTGGGATGGAGTCCCACATTGGTATCCCTGCTAAGAGGGGAGCCTGGTTCTGCTTCTCCCTCTGCCACTCCCCCTGCTTGTGGTCTCTTACTTTTATGCTCTCTCTCAAATAAGTAAATAAAATCTTTAAAAAAAAAAAGCTAGTGTTAGAGCTCTCCAGCACCTTCCTTATCAGACTGTGAATATGTGTAAAAGTCCCTAATATTTCTCTACAGTTAGTTCTATGTGAATTAATCAGAAAAGGGAAACAGGAGTATATAAATAAATATTCATTCTAACTACTAGGGAATCTAGAAAGAACCAAGCTGGGCACCTGGGTGGCTCAGTCATTAAGTGTCTGCCTTCAGCTCAGGTCACGATCTTAGGGTTCTGGGATCGAGCTAAGCAGGGAGCTTGCTTCAGCCTCTCCCACTCTCCCTTCTTGTGTTCCCTCTCTCAAGGTCTCTCTGTCAAATAAATAATCTTAAGAAAGAAAGAACGAACGAACGAACCAAGCTTTCCTTTCCAATAACTATGTGCTTATATCAACATAAACTCCATCTGGATTAAACAAAATGTAGTAGTAGTGTAAGTATTAACTGCCGATTAAATAAGTAATTAGGTTAGTTAATATTTGAAAAGTAAAATGAATCTATTTCTACTTAGCTAAAAAGCAAATGCTTAAGTTTAAAATGCTTTCTTAAGATTTTATTCATCTGTCAGAGAGGGAGAGAAAGAGCACTAGCAGGGGGCACAGCAGGCAGAGGGAGAAGCAGGCTCCCCGCTGAGCAAGGACCCTGGGATCATGACCTGAGCCGAAGGCAGACGCTTAACCAACTGAGCCACCCAGACGTCCCTTAAGTTTAAAATGTCTTATTGCTGAGACAAGACCAAAGGGTCATTCACCAATAAGGCTATGATTTCAGAAGTATAACCACCTCAAAGTAATGCCATTTAAACCAATGCCGAAAAGCAACTGAGTGCGCGTACTACCCAGAACCATCAGCTGTCATTTCAACAAAGAACCGCCCAGACCCTCTATTTCTTCAAACAAGTAATTTCACTCAAATAAAGTAGTGCAATCCATAGGGGAAAAAATTAAATCCCAAAAACCTGCTTATGTTGGACTTTAAGATTAGATCCAGGTAAGAGAATGAAAAAACAAGCCATAGGCAGGGAGAGAAGCTTTACATAACACATGTGATAAAGGACTTGTCTCCAAAATATACAAGAACTCTTAAAACTCAAGATGACCGAAAACCCAATTGAAAATGGGCAAAAAATCTGACAGGGGCCTCAAAGATGATCTACACACGGCACATAAGCACATGAAAAGATGCTCATCTTCTGTCACCAGAGAACTGCAAATTAAAACGAGGTACCGAGCGCAGCGATGAGCATGACCGCGATCCAAAACGCTGATGACACCGGTCACTAGTAGAGGAGGAACAGGAACACATGCATGGGGGGACGCAAAGATGGTCTTCAGTTTAACAGTTTTGTTTGTTTGTTTGTTTTTTACAAAGCTAGACGTGATCTTACTCATAAGCCAGTTTTCCAATCTGTTGAAAACTTACGTCCCACAAAAACACGCATGCAGATGCTCAGTGCAGCTTTATTCACGATCACTAGTGACCGGAAGTAACCAAGATAACCTTCAACGTGAACCAAACTACTCCGTGCTGCAGAGTTATTCGGCAATAACAAGTGAGCTCCCGTGACCGCGCCCTATGCCCACTGAAGGACACAGGTGACCCTTCAATGCATACAGTTGTCCACCCCCCCGCCCCGTGCTAACTGGTTCATCATTCTGCTACCACCACCCATATACACAGGAACTGAATAATTAAATGGTTGGTGGCTGGTAGGATCTAGATTTTTCAAGGTTGGAATGGGAAGCTACAGATAAATAAGGGGAAGAGGGTAGAATGAGCCACGTAGCACTGGACTCATGTTTTGCTTAATGTAGATACAAATGGATAAAAATACAGATACGTGAATATACACAGATTAATATACACATATATGTCCCTGTTCTGTCTGCCGAGGGCCTAGATATAAGGACACTCCAGTAGCAATGAGCATATCTAGCTCCCAGATCTTGGTTTCTAATAACATTTTTCGATAAAAGGAACAATGTTGGGGGTAGGACAAAAAAAAACTAGAACAGGGACCATGTGAAAGGGATCCCAAAAGCCAAAGCTCGAACAATTTGACCAGCAAAATAAAAGAGTATGAGATTATAACTCAAAGTTTAAAATAGCCATGAGTGCACATAAATGACCGAGTAAATGAGAACAGACCAATCTAATGCAGAAGAATCCTAAATGATGTAGGCAGACAGAGGTGGGGGTGGACACAAGCCACGTTCCTTCTTCAGTGTCGGCGGGACAGAGCACGGCACAGCATGGAAAGACAGAGTAACTTCCCAGCAGAGAAATCTAACGAGTGTGACACCTCAGCCAGGTGACCAAAGCCAAGAGCCCCAGCCACAAGCCAGGTTTCTAGTAGGGACCGCACTAATGGACGATGAACAGGAGAAAAGAAGTCTGCACTATCTCCACATTCTTGAAATCCAAAACTATTCTAAAATAAGTTATTTTTTTAAAAAGAGGGCAACTATTCATATATACGTTTCCACAAAAAACAGCTGTAGAGATAAACCAGCCCCAGTATTTCACCTGGTACCCGAGTTTACCCATACTTAGGGTACAACTACGATACTCTCATTCCTTCAAACACCTGATCCCATTAGGCTCTCTTAAGCCACTGGACACACTGTTACGTAGCACAGGAACAGAGGAAACAGAATTAGTCGGGACAATAAATGAAAACTTACAGTAGCAGTTCTCTGCTCATCAAACTTCGACAGTTTCTGAAGTTCTCTGTAGACAGCTCCGAGAGGTGCATATTCTAGAATTAGGTAAACTCTGGTGGCATCATGGAAATAGCCATACAGTCTGAGGATGTTTGGATGCCTGCAACAAAGGATGAATGCTCTAACGCCTGGTTCTGGAAAAGATCCAAAAATCTGTCCTAACTACTAACCAACCCCCTCATGTAAAACTAATGAAAATTGGGCCTGAACACAGATTCCTCCCCCGACACCCCCCCCCCCACCTGATTTGAGAATCGGGGAAAAAAACAAATACGTCTGGAGTCAGTGACAAACATTACAAGGTATTAATGGACCTTGGGTTTAGTTAGGACGATTTCCTTCCTTCAGGCCATCTTTATTCTTTGGGGGGAAATTCAGCTAAATGTTAATTCTTTGCACATTAGAGAAAGAGAGACATGGTATTCCCACAGCATTTTGATCCCCAAACACTAGAAGACACAACTTCAAAGCCATGTGCAGCTGAGGACTTGGGCAGCTAAGAACACGGCCCAGGACCGCAGCCTTCAGCTCCCGCCAGCAGTTGCCAGAGAAAGATACAGGCATGATGCGGGCAGATTTGTCAGTATTAACGACTGATTCAAGTCTGCAAAAAATGGTGAAAGCAAAAAAAAAAAAAAGAGAGAGAGAGAAGAAAAAGACCCACGGGCCAAAGTCAGCCTGCAGAGGCTGCCAGTCTGCAACCTCCGCTTAGAGCTCAGAAGTACTGAGCGTCACCCCTTCACTACGCATGTGCGCGCACGCACGCACGCACGCACACGCACGCACGCAAACTTGGCTACCTATGTACATAATTCATTAACAAAGCATAAACGTCCGAGGGATTTTTAAGGACCACAGCACTTGTCTAGATAAATTCTTAAAAAGTGACGAATTAAATCACGCTCTGCAGTCCTACGGAGCAGGCTGCCATCACTAACTCTCAGTAACTAAGTTCTGCACCACACGCTTTGGAACATCAATCTGGAAACTCACCTGAGGTGGGACTGTATTTCTACTTCTCTTCTCAGCTGATGCTCAACCCCTGCTTTCTCCAGTTGAGCCTTAAATAATACTTTAAGAGCCAGGATAAACTTGCTTTGTTTTTCTCTCGCCAAGTAAACATTACCAAACTTTCCTTTACCCAGGGGACGACCAATTTCAAAATCTTCCAAAGCCCATTGCCTTCTAGGAAGAAATGTGAACATTTTAAAGTGTGAAGAAAACAAATCTTTTCTAACAATTTATTAAGGAGTTATAGATGTACCTATCAATAATTTTATATTTGAAGTCATACTCAATATGTACCTTGGCAAGAACCAAGCCAATAACCACTCTATGTGAGTCTCCACCGACTTTAAACCCCCCACTCCCTCACCTGCCAATGATTGTATGAGTCTGTGACAAGGAACAATCTGGACTTTTAGAGCTAAAGCACTAATGCAAAGTGTCCCAAGGCACTACTACACTCTGAATTACAAACCCATTACCACCAGCACCGAAGATCACAGGAAAGGTTTGGTAAATAACTGGAGGAAGTCTTCAGATCTCTCTGTGGGTCTCTGGAAGACTAAACACAGCCTCCTCCTCTATTCCAGAGAAGCTAAGCTCTCTGGGGTAGAGAATCTGGGGTGGATGAATCAAGAGGGTTGGATCCTACAGGGCGGTGAGGTGAGAACCCCTGGATTTAGATTGTCAGAAAGCTGCTACCATGGGCAGCTAAAGCACAAAAGCCTGTGGGTTCATTCTTGGCTCCTCCTCCTCCTCCATTCTAGAAATTACATTCTACATTCTAGAGTCTAGACAGCTCAGAAATTGAGAGCAGACTTTTGTAAAATATCCGGGGAAGATATTATAAAGAATAATTCAATTGATACTGTCACAATTATTCAGAGTCACATACACATGTGTCATAGTTTTGCAACATGACTGCCTTTTGTTTAACAAACTTGCTCTTTTGTATAAGAATAGAAATAAAAAAACATACCTAAACTATCTGTAGTGGTTACTTCTGAGGGTAGAGAGAAACTTATTTTACACATTTCTGTAACAAATTCATACAGGTTCTTTTCTAAATTTGGAAAGCAATAAGAAAAGCTTGAGTCTCTAGTAAACATCATTAAAATTCCTTTTTTTTTTTTTTTTGCAAGTTTAGAATTTGGAAACATTTTTATTTTCTGAGTGAAAATATACAGACCTTTTTATTTTTTAACATGTTCCCATAATTAAACTTGCAATGGTGTATTCTACTAAAATGATAGCACAGGACTTTGTAAATAAGATAAAGCTTACTTTTTCGATTCTTCACTTTTCTGTTTTGTTGCCAGTTCCTTTTCAGAATTACTTCCTATATAGAATAAAAATCCATTTTTAGAATAACTACAATTATTTTAGAATAACTGTAAGTAATTAAAACCCCATGAACAGAAATGAAGAATGGTCACCAAAATATTAATGGTATGTCCAGAATGGTCAATCTGAGCTATTTTTAGTTTTCTTTATAGAAAAAAGATAATCATACCATAACCTGACTCATACCAGGTGAAGTTTTTATAGATTTCTAGAGTAAAGATGAGCAGATACATATACAGCTAGGCCCTCTGATAATTTCAAGATTTAAGACTATGCAGATTCGGGGGCGCCTGGGTGGCTCAGCGGGTTAAGCCTCTGCCTTCGGCTTGGGTCATGATCTCAGGGTCCTGGGATCAAGCCCTGCATCCGGCTCTCTGCTCGGAGGGGAGCCTGCTTCCCACTCTCTCTCTGCCTGCCTCTCTGCCTACTTGTGACCTCTCTGTCAAATAAATAAATAAATAAACAAAAAAAGCCATGCAGCCTGAAATTTCCTGCTAAGCCTTTAATGCTTTGGACATTCTTCACCTAGTGTCCAGCTGCACTTTAAAAAACTCAGCCACTGAGTGCCCAGCGTCCAAAGTCTACCCCTCAAGGAGCATGCTAGCCGGAAGTCCACGTGAGAACAGTATAACGCAGACCCAAAACACAGTCCCATCTACAAAGCTGCTAAATGATCCCTGACTATCCTCCCTGCTGCACCCAGCTGAGGCCGCTGCAGGCTTTGACCAAACCCCCACCAGCCCGCCTGCTGTCAGCCACCCTGCAGTGCAGCGCTTCCACGTCATTCCAGGCATCCAGAGGAAGCCTCTTTCTAAAAGGCCAGCCCCTCCTCTGCTCAAAAACCTTTCAGCAATTTCCCCATTCAGAGGGGATGAAGCCCCACTCCGCGACATAGCCAGAGAGCCTACTGTGACCTTACCCGGCTGGCCTCAGTCCATCCAAGTCCATCCACTTCCCTGACTGCCCTCCACATGCCCAACCTCGGAACTCTTCAGTTCCTCAAGCACACAGGAGGGTAGGAAGCCGCTCTCCATCCTGGGTGTGGGGCTGGCCCACAGGAGACACTGCTCTCCAACCTGACATCAGATTCCCCCCCATCCGCAACAAAGATGAAGTAAATGGGAGGGCTCCAGACCATAAATGCATGTCTATCCACCCGTACCCCCTTTATTTAAGCAACTAAGACAAATAGTAACTATCCAATAGAAGTCTCGAAAGCGGATTTACCAGGGGCTGATGATGATGGCTGCTCCTTCTTTTGGGTATTATTCAGTGGCCTAGAGACAGGACGAGAGACACTGGTTGCCTGCAATTGCTTCTGCTTCAGATTCTGAACCGGTTTATGGCTGGAGACGAGCTTTTGTGCTTGTGGAGGAATCCGCTGGGAGGAGTTTGAAGGACACAAGATGCGCTGGGCCTGGCCAGTATTTGCAGATAACGGATTTGGAGGAGGAATTTGCTGAGTCACCGGAACACGTTTTGGACCATCACTGAGTGCAATCGTGGTCTAGGTTGGGAAGGGAAAATTTCATGTCTTCATGAACAAAAGCTGAGTATTTTGACAATTTCGCAAAGTCTGTTTTCTAGTATAACAAAATATTGAAGGTCATTGATAATCCATGGAAGGGGAAAGCTATTTGCATCAGCACTCCCAGAGGATTTGGTTAATATACAGCTGAAAGGAGTATTAAGGGTGCTGCCCACCCACCCCAACACCCCCCCACCCAAAACCATGCTCCTATAAATAACTGTTCATTTACTCAACTTCCATCTGAAGAGGGAGACATCAAACACTTTTCAGGAATTCTCAACGACTCAGAAATTATTACTTACCAAAAAGCTACAACACAGAAACTTTATACCCAAAATCCCAATTCCATAAATTTCTTTGGCAATACCATACAGACATTTAGAAAAAAAGACAAAGAAATATGTCAAAATATTCATCAGTGGTTAGGTTTCAGAAGACAGTCTAAAAGGCGCCTGGGTGGTTAAGCATCTGCCTTCAGCTCAGGTTATGATCTCAGGGTCCTGGGTTCAAGCCCCACTTCGGGCTCCCCACTCAGCAAGGAGCCTGCTTCTCCCTCTGCCTGCTGCGCCCCCACTACTTGTACGCTCTCTCTCTGTCAAATAAATAAAATCCTTAAAGAAATAAAAGTCTGAATTTTTGCATTTACCTGATTTTACACAAAATACTTAACTACTATTATTTACTAATGTTTCATTGTCCAAGTACTTACAAAATAGGTCTGAGCCGAAAGAGCTATGGCAAAGAAGAAATAAACAGGTTCTTCGAAAAGTTATGCCAAAATATACTACTTACATGCCTGTAAGTAGGGGATCACAAGCTTAAAATACAGTTAATTCTAAGACCTTGAACTAATCAAACTAAACTTCAATGGAGGAAATTTCCTCACAAACGGGGGAACAATGCTGGCAAGGGAAGCCTCAGAGTGCCTCATAAGAGTTGGTTTCCAACTTCCAAGTAAAAAGTCAATTACTCCTGAAATTAGCAACCTCCACAACACAGCAGACATTCAGGCAGTGACAAACATTTCACACAGAGCAGTTTTTTTTAATGATCTTTATCAGGGGCACCTGGGTGGCTCAGGTCATGATCCCAGAGTCCTGGGATCAGCCAGCATGGGGTGGCGGGGCGGGGCGGGGGGGGGGGGGGGCGGCCGGGTGTCCCTGCTCAGTGGGGAGACTGCTGCTCCCTTTCCCTCTGCCCCTCCCCCTGCTGGTGTACATGTGCTCACTCACAGGCTCTCATATAGATCTATATAAAATCTTTAAAAAAATAAAAAATAAAATGAGCTTTATCATAGGAATTGAGAATCAAATACAAGGACTCAAGTTAGCCTTTTTCTGATTGGTTATTTTAGACTTCCAGCCAGTTTAAAAAAAAAAAAAATGGTTAAGTATCCATTTATTTGAAAATGAAAACTTCTACCTGTCAGAACGGCTAAAATCAAAAACACAAGAAACAAGTGTTGGCAAAGATGTGGCGAAAAAGGAACATTCGTGCACTGTTGGTGGGAATATAAACTGGGGCAGCCACTGTGGAAAACAGTATGGAGGTTCCTCAAAAAGTGAAAAATAGGGGCATGTGGGTCGTTCAGTAGGTTGGACATCCAACTCTTGGTCCGGCTCCAGTAATCTCAGGAGGTCCAGATATCGAGCCCCAGGTCGGGCTCAGCACTGAGTGTGGAACCTGCTTAAGATTCTCTCTCCCTCTTCTCCCACCACCTCCCACACCCTGCTCATGCATGCTCACTCAAAAAAAGAAAACCACCACCACCAACAACAAAAAAAACAAAACACCACACACAAACACGTGCACACACACACAAAAAAAAACCCAAAAAATTAAAGAAGAGAAAAACTTCTAAAAACAAGAAACCACCCCCCCAACACACAAATCAAGAAGATTTGTGGGTTTGTTTTTTTTTTAAAGATTTTATTTATTTATTTGACAGACAGAGATCACAAGCAGGCAGAGAGGCAGGCAGAGAGAGAGGAGGAAGGAGGCTCCCTGCTGAGCAGAGAGCCCGATGCAGGGCTCGATCCCAGGACCCTGAGATCATGACCTGAGCCGAAGGCAGCGGCTTAACCCACTGAGCCACCCAGGTGCCCCAAGATTTGTGTGTTGTTTTTTTTTTTAAAGATTTTATTTATTTATTTGACAGAGATCACAAGTAGGCAGAGAAGCAGACAGATAGAGAGAGGTGGAAGCAGGCTCCCTGCAGAGCACAGAGCCCGATGTGGGGCTCGATCCCAGGACACTAGGACCATGACCTGAGCCGAAGGCAGAGGCTTTAACCCACTGAGCCACCCAGGTGCCCCAAGATTTGTGTTTTTATGCTGACTTCCTAGAAGGAATAAAACCTGGGGATTGTTTACATTAAAGGAAGTTTATATAAAGACTCATTCATTCAGCTGCTCCACAAATACTCACTAAATTTGAAGAGCCCAGGGGTCTTTCCTAGGTGAAGCCTTCCTGGGTTCCAACATAGCCCAATGTGTGCTGAGCACACCTTGGCAGAACTACTCAGGTCACTTCATTTACACATATTTTAGGAAGGCGTGTACTGGCTCACATAACTCCCCAAAAGGGCTAAGTTCCTCAGTATGAAAGACCATGTGCTTTTCACCATTGTAATCATCCCTGCATCGGACACAGAATCTGGCTTAAAGTGGGCACCCAGGAGATGTTCACTACAATGCAGCCTGACGGCCTCTGGGCTTACCATTCCCCAAATCCTGCCCAGAACAAACTAGGGCAAAGCAATTTCATTTCTGGCAAGCAAGGAAGCACAGGCAAGTATTGTGCACCTGTTGTGTACAGTGTTATCCTCCACACAATGGAGGGATACAGATACTTAAACAGCTAGCTAGAAGACAAAGCAGAACAAAATAAAAGCTACTGTGACAATCCACAAAATATTATTGAATGCCAAGAAAAGGGACTGACGTCCAGTAATGTAGTAGAGAGTTCTAAAGTTACAATCCAAAGTAAAAGTAAAAAGAACTCCAGATATAAAACCAATCTCCACTGGGTTTTATAAATGTGATCGAGATTACAGATTATTCAATTTACCTTAAGAGACCCCGCAATGCAGTTCTCTTTAGATCTGTCCATGATGCCTGAAAAGAAAAAGAACCACCTTTAATTTATACAATTTATTTATTTATACAATTTATACAATTTATTTATACAATTTAATTTTATTTAATGTATAATATATTTATACAATTTATACAAATCCTCATGCTTCCAAGTGCTGTTATGCTAGATCAGGCTTATAGCTCCTGATGAAAAAAGCTTCCACAACACAGAATTTCATACTTTTTCTTTGTCCAAATGAAGCTAGCAAGGGAGCCTTGTTTTCTCGAGTGACATAAGGGACAGGTGTGAGGCCTCTAGCCCGCACTGCCTCCCCTCCCTGAGTCCTCCTGCTCCACCAGCTGGTCTCTAAAGGACTACGTCCATCAGTGAGGAGCCTCCTTCCAACCCTGCTGCCTTTTAAAAGCGGGTCCTCGGGGTACCTGGGTGGCTCAATGGGTTAGACCTCTCTGCCTTTGGCTCAGGTCATGATCTCAGGGTCCTGGGATCGAGCCCCACATTGGGATCTCTGCTCAGCGGGGAGCCTGCTTCCTCCTCTCTCTCTCTGCTGCCTCTCTGCCTACTTGTGATCTCTGTCAGTCAAATAAATAAAATATTTTAAAAAGATAAAATAATAAAATAAAAGCAGGTCCTCTCAGGGTGCCTGGGTGGCTCAGTGGGTTAAGGTTCTGCCTTCGGCTCAGGTCATGATCTCAGGGTCTTGGGATTGAGCCCTGCATCAGGCTCTCTGCTCAGTGGGGAGCCTGCTTCCCTCTATCTCTCTGCCTGACTCTCTGCCTACTTGTGATCTGTCAAATAAATAAATATTTAAAAAAAAAAAAAAAAAAAAAAGCAGGTCCTCTCTTCCCCATAACGGATTCCGGCGAGGACAGCATCTCCCCCGTCATCCTTCAACACTGAAGCTCTAGAACAGTCATCCACACTCACCACATCCACCATTCCTCTCAGCCACTAGCCCTCCCCCATGATTCTGTCCCCACAGAGGGGCTGACTCATGACTGACCTCTAGCGTCACCAAACTGGCGTCCCCCAGCAGCGTTTGACAGGATGGCTCTTTCCCCACTCCCGATGTGTGCGAGCCTGCAGGGTGGTCCCCCACACCACCAGCCGCCCTACTGCAACCTCCTTCGCTCCATCAGCCTCTCTTTTGCCAACCTGAAAGTCTGGGGTGACCCAGAAGGAGTTCTTTGACCCCACTTCTCCATCCACACCCTTCCTAGGGTCCCTCATCCAGCACCAGGGCTCTAAACAATCTTTAAGATGATATGAATTTACATCTTCTACCCCAACCTCTCCTCCGACCACCAGACTCCTACCTACCTACCTGCTCAGTATTCCCCAAAAAAGGTCTGTCAAGCACCTCAATCCCAGCACATCAGGAAAGAACTTCTTCCTCCTCCTGGCTTTTCTTCCCCTCTGCTCTCAGGAGCAGCCTGAGCTTGGGCCCAGAAACACTTTCTTTTGCAACTATCCTCATTCCCTAGAGGAACTCATCCAGTCTCCTGGCCCTCAATACCATTCAGAGGCTCAGGACCTCCAGACTTCCATCTCCAGCCCAGAGCTCTCCCCTGAACTCCTACCACCTAGGAAACACATTCACCTTTAATCGGAGATCCCTCAATTTTAAAATGTCTCAAACTGAACTCCTGCTCCCTCCCTACCCCCATCTCTCCAACCCTGTTCTTGCAGATGTCTCCATCTCAATTACTGGCAAACCCAGCCTGCCGGTTGCTCAGGTCAACTGTCTTTTAAACGGTTCTCTCTCAAACCCCACATCTAATCCATCAGCATATTTTGTCGGCTCTACATTGAAAAATCACTGCTCAGGACCTTTAATACTACCACCTGATCAAACCAATGCTCTCTCCCTTCAATTCCTTGCAACAAGCTCCCCGTGGTCACTCTGCTTCCGCCCTTGCCCCATTATAGTCCATTCACAACACTACTAAGTCAGCTATGTTGGTCAGTTCCTTGGTTTGGAAGCCCCTCATGGTCCCTCAACGCAAATTCAAAATCCTATTTGCATAGACAGCCTACAGTCTCATAGAGTATGGACCCTGACCACCATTTTTGCCTTATTTCCTCTTGTCTATTGCACACCAGCCATACAGGGCTTCTTTCTTTCCTCAAAGCAGTCCCCTGCCACAGGGCCTTTGTCCTTCCTGTTCTCTCTACCCATTTGGCTCTTCCCTCAAATAGAAGTGTGGCTTGCTCTTTCATTATAGTCAAGTCTATGCTGAAATGTTGCCTTTCTGACCGTGTTGCTTTTATTTTCTTCATAGCCCTTACTTAACATCTTACATAACATTGCTTGTACTTGTAAGCTCCATGAGAGTGAGGGCTTAGTTCCATTTTGTTTATGTTGCCTCCCCAGAACAGGTCTGCACAGTTCCTACACCAGTGTTTGGGAAAGGAGTTAATCCATTAAGAAAGCACATCAATAATGCAAATAGTTTATAGCACTTACTAAGCCCATACTGTGAGTCAGGCACAGCAACCTATCAAGTAGGTAGAACATAAGCTCCAAGAAAACAGAAACCTCTCTGTATTTTTCCTACAGAAATTCTGAATTCTAGAATCCAATCAGAAAATGTTCCCCACCCCCACACTTTCACATCTATTTCACAAATAAGCAAATAACTCCGCCTTGAAGATGGAACCACAGCTATAGAGCAAGGAGTCTTTATATCAAACGGGTTAGGAGAAATGACAGAAAGGAAAAAGAAGTTATAAGCTTGTGTTACGCAAACATTAATTTCGCATACGCTCTTATGCTTTCTTCACTCTCCCGAACAATCGCAGGCAGCAGACTAATGAGATCACACAGACTTAAAGACATTTATTCAATAGTCTTCCACAAAAGCTAGATATTTGCCCCAACTGAATACAGTTTACCCTCTCAGGGAGATGAATAATAAAAGAGAGAATGGAGTAAGATCCTGATCCACAGATTCCAGAGAGCCCCAGGAAAACTGTTTCTCAAATGGTTCCAGTCCACAGCCAGGTTCACATGACCTAGTGACCTTCACAAGATCCCTGCAACTCAAACCACATATCCTACTATTCTAAACAGGAAACTGTTAAAGACTGTACAGCACTGTGCATTTCGACTTTTTCTTCACCAAACCTGCTAGTGTCTGCACAGACTCAGAGGAGAATGGGAATAAGTATGTGGCTGAAAAGCATTTAATTCAAAGAACAAGAAAGGTTAAGGAGAGAGGACGAACCCTTGAAAGTTTAGGGCAGTAGCTCCACCTACTTCTGGAGGGCATTTGTTAGAAATGGAGACTTTGAGGCCCAAACACAGACCTAATAAATCAGATTCTGCATTTTAACATCCCCAGACGTCTAGTACGCATTGGCCTAGAACACTGGTTGTCCACGAAACATCAGAATCACCTGGGAAGCTTGACAAACTACAGACACCTGAGTCCTCTACGCCCAAGCTCTTCTGACTCATTAGCTGGGTCTACATTTTTCACAAGACCCTTAGAAATCCCGGTAAACGCGGTCCAAGATTTGCAGTTTGAGAAGCACCGACAAAAGAAAGCCTCTTTGAGGAAGTTTTCATTTATTCACCCCTCATCCATCCAGGAAAAGGGTCCCGCCTGGCTATTCTACCCAACGGAGCCCCCGGTAAGCCACACTACTGTTTTCTTTTGCAAGTTCTCGGGTCAGTTCGTCGTCTGGCGCCACACCCCCGCTAGAACACAAACTACCGGGGAGCAAAAGCCCTCCTATTTTTTTTCTTACCCAGGTGCTCAACGAATACGAGAACCCCATCAGAAAGCACCCCCACCCCCAATGCCCCCCCAACAACCCCATGCACCGCAGGTGTTTAGTAAACACCAAGCGGCATCTTACCGGGCGCCCCAGGACCCGGAAGGAGAGGGGACAGAGCTGGGAAAGCACGGGGTGGGGGAGCAGAGGAGGGGAGAGGGGAAGATGCGGGTGGGGAGAGGAACAGGAAGGCTGAGGAGGACAGAGGAGGACCAAAGTGGCGACGGAGTCACCAAGGGAGGCCTCGCCTCCACTCTTCCCCGCGGGCCCCGTAGCCTCACCGCCCTCTTCCTTCCCACCCGTTCCGCCGCCCGCTGAACATCCACCCAGGCCCGCCGCCCTCGCCCACCCGTCTCCCAGAGCGTCCCAGGGTCTACGAACCCGTCGGCTCCAGCCTCCGACCCAAGGGAGCCGAGCGCTTCTTAGAGCTCAGCCGTTAAGATTCAAAGTCTTCATTTTAAATAGGAGTTAAACCCTCTAATCTGAGAGCTGATTGGCCTGGGCCAGAGAGGCGCTGCCTTTTGATTGGTTTACAGCCAACCCTACGGCTTGAGTCACATCCAAGGCGGTGACAGCGCGCAGGCGCACTTGCCCGGTAAGGCCCCGGAAGTGGTGGAGCCAACCGCCCGCCAGGCTTTGGCCGTTCTAGCGCCCGCGGTGCTCTCCGGGATCCGACATTTGTCCACAAAACAGCATTTCCCTAGTGTCAATCAACGTTGTCGCGCAAGAGGTAAAGTCGGAGGAGGTTAAGGAACCACTCGAACGCTCCAGTAAGTAAGATGGCGAGAAGGGCAGGAGAGAGTGAGGCCGATCGATAGCGCAGCGCTCGGCGTTTCGCCCTTTGCGCGTGCGCAGGGAACGTGCGCTCAGAGCGATCGATTGGGCAGAATTCGCGCCTCCATTTTTTCTGGGAGAGAGTGGGAGATCGAGAGAGCCGGACTAGAGGGTACTGGGGGCCTGGGATGCATGGAGAGCGGCTGGTGCGGTTCGCTGGGGTCTTTATGGGATCACAGGAAAGATGAGCGGGGCGGGAAGGCCGTATAGTGAGAGGGTTGGCATGCGCCCTGAGTTGCCAGGCCGGGCCTGCACACCCCCTTCTGTTCCTCGAAGGCCTCGCTCCCACCCTCACTCCGTCCTTAGTTCGCTTCTGCCGCGGGATGGTAGCGGAGCCTCGTGAGGGGGCATGTGTGTCCCCGCCCTGATCCCTCTTCCAGTTCCGGGTTTAGACAGTTCTTACGGCTTGTTCTTCCCGTCCTCGGCGTCCTCATCTGCAAATTGGGGGTGGTAATTAGGCACTTAGTAGCCCAGCGAGCGAACGTTCTGTGAGACTTGAGAAGCGGGCCTCGTCCTTTTCTTTCTTTTTCTTTGTGTACCCCGTGATGCTCCTGGCGTGAGGGCAGAGGCGGGAGAGAATTGTGGTTAAGTTCTGGGCTCTGCTGTGGGCATTCCTGGCGGCCACTTGACGCGTTACCCAGCCACATTTTATTTTCAGTTTCCTAACTTCTTTGTGCCGGTTTCATCTCTTTTGTGTCCAAGTGTTGTCTACACAAGCATAGATTTGTATACAGTTGTTTCTACGTGTGCTTAAATACTTCGATTTCATTCAGTGAGCTAACGCTTGTAAAGTGCTTAACACTGTGCCTGGCAAGTACTTAATAAATGTTAGCAGCTGTTATTAACACCCATCAGTGCAGCCCAGTAAGGCCTGGAGCTCTGAGGTCAGATAGCCTGGGTGAGTTAACCTCTTTGCACCTCAGGTTGCCTATCTCTAAAATAGGATTAGGTGAGTATTAAGTGAGATAATGCATACAGGTTGCTTGCACGCTGTGTGTTATATACTACACTTGTGCCTAGTAGATTTTAACTATTATTAGATTTTTTAAAGATTTTTATTTATTTGAGAGCAAGAGAGGGAGCAAGAGCAGCAGGAGGGGCAGAGGGAGAAGCAGGCTCCTCCATGAGCAGGGAGCCGGATGCGGGAATGGATCCCAGGACCCTGGGGATCATGAGCTGAGCTGAAGGCAGACGCTTAATGGGCTAAGCCACCCAGGTGCCCCTGTCATTAAATTTTCAAGGAGCGCTACAGGTAGTCATCAGCAACAACACAGTCTAGAGTTAAACCATCTGTATTCTAGTCCTGGTTTCTCCATGCACTCGTCGTGGGACCTTGGACAAGTTATTTTCCCTTCTAATCTGTAAATAAGATTACAGGGTCTCCTTTACAGATTGGTGTTGAGGACTAAGTAAGAAAAAACATGCTAAATACTCAGTGCCTGTTAGTTATTCTTATGACCAGTAGCTTCAGTTATTCTCCAGAGGGAGTTAGAAAACATGGTTCCCCACCCCTTTACTATAAGACACCCTTCTTTCCAGAATCTTTCCCAGTAAAGTACAGCAGTCCAGGCAGGGCTAGTGTTACTGCTCACTCCTCCTTTCTGGTATTCCTCTCTCTCCCCTGTGCTCTGACTTTCAGTTTCTTGTCTGCCTGCAACTTCTCTTCTTTATTAACAGCCCCAGACTCCTGTGGCCTTCTGATAGCTGTCCAGACATACATATACATACAAACATTGATTTTTGGAAGTCAAATTATGCACTCATGTTCACCATTTGTACTTACTTTTTTTGCATAGACCAGAAACCATCATCTGCAGTTTTCATTTTACCTTCTAAGGGAGATCTTAACCACTTCTGAACCAATCTAAGGGCATAATCCTTCAGATTCTTGCCCTTTTTTTTTTCATGTTTTTATTGTTGTCTTGGCCATATCCTTTTTGCCAGTATTTTATTAAGCAATTCATCTTTGGATCTTTCCAAAGCATTCAATTTGATTTCGTTTTCATAGCATTGTGACTTTTGTGCCCTTGTGTTTCGCTTTACTATGTAATTATATTATGTAATTTAACAAATTTAGTTACCTTAAAATGTGTTTTAAGAATGAACATAACTGGGGGGTGTCTGGGTGGCTCAGTCGGTTAAGCATCTGCCTTCGGCTCGGATAATGATCTCAGGGTCCCGGGATCGAGTCCTGCATTGGCTCCCCGCTCATCAGGGAGCCTGCTTCTCAGTCACACAATCTCTCTCTCTCTCTCTCTGAAATAAATAAATAAATAAAATATTTTTTTTTTTAAAAAGGAATGAACATAACTGGGGCTCCTGGGTAGCTCCTGGGTAGTCGTTAAGCGCCTGCCTTCAGCTCAGGCCATGGTCCCAGCGTCCTGGAATCCAGTCCCGCATCGGGCTCCCTGCTCGGTGGAAAGCCTGCTTCTCCCTCTTCTACTCCCCCTGCTTGTGTTCCCCCTCTCGCTGTGTCTCTGTAAAATAAATAAATAAACCCTTTTTTAAAAAATGAACATAACTGACATGAGTAAACATGTAGCTCAGCTGGTGGAAACACTAGCGTCTAGACTTTAGCAATAGCAGCTGTCTTACCTATTGCAAAAACCAGTGTCTTTTTTTTTTTTAAGATTTTATTTATTTATTTGACAGAGATCACAAGTAAGCAGAGAGGCAGGCAGAGAGACGGGGGGAAGCAGGCTTCCCCTCTCCCAGGACCCTGGGATCATGACCTAAGCCGAAGGCAGAGGCTTTTAACCCACTGAGCCACCCAGGCGGCCCAGTCAGTGTCTTATAACAGAAGAAATAGAAGATTCTAGGATAGCAATATAGAATAAAAATGGCAAGCAGGTAGTTTGACAGAAAAAAAATTGATGAAAAGTTATGTAATATTCTGTAAATATTAGCTAACATGAATTTGAATAACATGATTTCAATGCTCTGCACACACCATTCTTATTTAACCTTCACTAACTTACTTAACAGCTGAGGAACATGATCTCAGAGGAAGGAGGTTGATGACCAAAGATGACGCGACTAGTAGAGCTGGGATGTGCTCCCCGCAAGTCTGACCAGATTGCTGTGTTGCCTCTGTGACTTACTAGTGCCTCTGCCCTTCACCATCCCTCTTTTCTCATCTTGCAGCCGGCAAGGAGATTGTCTTCCTCTTTTCCAAGATGTACAGAACCAAAGTGGGCTTGAAGGACCGCCAGCAGCTCTACAAGCTGATCATTAGCCAGCTGCTCTATGATGGCTACATCAGCATTGCTAATGGCCTCATTAATGAAATCAAGCCTCAGTCTGTTTGTGCGCCCTCGGAGCAGCTGCTGCATCTCATCAAACTAGGTAGCTTTGAATGCAGATTCATTGATTCCATGACAAGGTTCCCAATGTTTTCGCAATCAGAATTGTTCAAGATTATTTTTGTTTCGTTTTAGTGCCTAGTATGTGTCAAGTACAGGGCTAGATACTGAAAGAGTAAGCAAACTCCAGATAATGACGATTTCGAGCTGGTTCTAGCCTCAAGCTCTGTATAAGAATTATCTGAAGCGTTCTTTCATTGTGATATGGTTTCAAATTTCAGCTCGAATGGTATTTCAGAGAGTCGTCTTCTCCTCTTCTAAAATAACCTGCTATCTTCCCCATACCTCCCCAGGTACTCTAAAACAACAGTTCCGTTTCTGCCGTAATAGAATCACTGTCTGAAATTTTCTTCACTGTTTCAGGTTGTTTCCCACGCAGTCTGTACTCCCCAGAAAAGATAGTAAGCTCAGTAAAGACCAGGATCTTGTCTTGTTCAGCAGTATATCCCGATGCTTGCCTGGGTTGTAGAAAGCACTCAGTAAAATATAGAATGACCATAATGTTTATACCCTTTGACTTAGCAATGCCAATTTTGATAATTTTTGTACGAATTTGAGGAAATAAAATGAATACAACTGAAATACCCAAAAATAAGGAGTTAGTTGTGAGTATTCTTGTATCCATCACATTGGGTCCGGTAACATGATATAGATAAACATTACACTGGCCAGATGTTTATTCTGTTTGAGTAAATGAACAAGTTACAAAATACCATATAGTGTGGTTCTATTTTTAAGAATTGTAACAAAGGTCCAGAAGAATTTCATTCCACCATGTTAACAGTAACTATCTCTGGGAGATCTAATAGAGGATCATTTTTATTTTTGTGTTCATCTGTATTCCTGATTTTTCTTATACTTAATAAACATACTGTTTATGTGATATGTGAAGTTATTTTTAAATTTAAAATGCATTTTCTTGAGAAACTTCTGTTTATTTAAATATCAACATTCTTTCAAATATGTTTCACTAGTGTTAATGCTAACAATGTATCTGACTTAATGAGCCTCAAAGCTGCTACTAACAAATCTCAGCACTAAAAATACTAAAATACAGAATGGGGAAAAAATGGACAGCATAACTACAGAATTGCTTTTTTTTTTTTTTTTTACATTTCTGTAGTTGTAATTAAAGTAGGAAATTTTGGAGGCAGAAATTGGGGGAGCTGATGGAACCTCTTGGAATCTAAGCTTCCGTGATCCATACTACCTATAGGGTTGTCACTGTTCGTGCACCTCGGTCAGAGACATATTTTGTGAAGGGCTAGATGCCCTGCAGCTCCAAGAAAGAGTAAAGTGACACTGGATCCAGAATTTTGTCTTGGCTTTTTAAAGTAACATTTCTTCATGCACTTAATTTTTTTTTTAAGATTTTATTTATTTATTGAGGGGAGAGACCGCATGAGCAAGGGGAGGGGCAGATGGAGAGGGAGAAGCAGGCTCACCGCTGAGCACAGAGCCCAACGCAGGGCTCGATCCCAAGAGTCTAGGACCATGACCCAAGCTGAAAGCAGACACTTAACCCACTGAGCCACCCAGGCGCCCCTCATGCACTTAATTTTTATTCCTTTCAGGAATGGAAAATGATGATACCGCAGTTCAGTATGCAATTGGTCGTTCAGATACAGTTGCCCCGGGCACAGGAATTGACCTGGAATTTGATGCAGACGTCCAGACCATGTCCCCAGAGGCTTCAGAGTATGAAACGTGCTATGTCACTTCCCATAAAGGACCGTGCCGCGTAGCTACGTACAGTAGAGATGGGCAGTTAATAGCTACTGGATCTGCTGACGCTTCCATAAAGATACTTGACACAGAGAGAATGTTGGCCAAAAGTGCCATGCCGATAGAGGTAACAATGCCAGTGACGTGTGTGCTGTGTGCCTGTTGTTCACTGGGAGAATGAGAGACCAGTAGACCAGACTTAACTTAGCATAGTTGGGTACTTTGAATCAGACAGATTTTAGAGTTTGAGCACCTATTTTCTCATTGGTCTAGGTCATGATGAATGAGACTGCACAGCAGAACATGGAAAACCACCCAGTGATTCGAACGCTTTACGACCACGTGGATGAAGTCACATGTCTCGCTTTCCACCCAACAGAACAGATCCTTGCCTCTGGCTCAAGGGATTATACTCTTAAATTATTTGATTATTCCAAGCCATCTGCAAAAAGAGCCTTCAAATACATTCAGGTTAGGAATGTTTGGAAAGGAGCTTTACATTTTTTTCTTAAAAACAAAGAGTTGTTATTGTATGACTATTCCCTTTTTTAAAGTAGGCTTAGTGATCATCCTATAAAACAGGAGCAACAAGGACACATGCCGCAGCTTGCTCTGGAATCTGATTTGCACGGACTCGTGGTCCGCATGCTTCCTGTGCCCACCTCCGTTGGCTGGTCAGGACTGCTAGCCACAGTTTCTGCAACAAGGGTTCACAATCTTTGTCACTTTTTAAGGGTTGCAGAACCCAAAACAAAACAGACCAACTTGGCTGAAGTGTAACTTAATGGCAATCAAAAAATCATTCCATTGAAACTATCAGATGTTTCCCGGAAAAGTGACATTTGGTACTGTATTTTGAGTTTGAAGCTCAGAAATACTAATGTTTTGGTAGTGGCTTCTACCTTTTTATAATTTAACTTAGTTTTTTTACTCAATATTTGGGGACCCAGGACAAACTGAAGAAGCTCTTCCCATGTACAAGTTGTATTTATCCTTGTTCATTCATATGTGAATGTATCCTAGCCCGATAATGTTCCATTCTGAGTTCACCCGATGTTAATTTGCAAATAATGAAGCTCGCTCCTGCGGTTTTTGGAATAAATAATCTCACCAGTAAATAGTTTTTAAAATCTCTGTTCAAATGATACTCTAGAAAGTTCATTGTTCCTTCTTATACCTGTGTAACATCTGACCATTGTCTTACGTATTCTTTCCATCAACGAAATACTTTCCGCATTTCCTCTGGATTTAATTGTTCACCAGTTGGTTACTTAATTTCTCTGTCCTAACAGGAAGCGGAAATGTTACGCTCCATCTCTTTTCATCCTTCCGGAGACTTTATACTTGTTGGGACTCAGCACCCTACTCTTCGGCTTTATGATATCAATACATTTCAGTGTTTTGTCTCATGCAATCCTCAAGATCAACACACCGATGCTATATGCTCCGTGAATTACAATCCTAGTGCCAATATGTATGTAACTGGTAGCAAGGACGGCTGCATCAAGCTATGGGATGGTGTTTCAAATCGATGCATCACAACTTTTGAGAAAGCCCATGATGGTGCCGAAGTTTGTTCTGCCATTTTCTCCAAAAATTCGAAATACATTCTCTCCAGTGGAAAAGACTCTGTAGCTAAACTTTGGGAGATATCGACAGGACGAACCCTGGTCAGATACACAGGTATGTGAAAAATTGCTATTACTTAACGTTTCTGAAGCATTTTATGGTTTCCAGAGCTCTTAAATCCTCACGAGAGCCACACAGTAAATGTATGCATTGAGCAAGGCAGATGTGATTCCTCTTTTAAATAAGAAATCGAGGGGCGCCTGGGTGGCTCAGTGGGTTAAAGCCTCTGCCTTCGGCTCAGGTCATGGTCCCAGGGTCCTGGGATCAAGCCCCACATCGGGCTCTCTGCTCAGCAGGGAGCCTGCTTCCCTTCCTCTCTGCCTGCCTGCCTCTGCCTACTTGTGATCTCTGTCTGTCAAATAAATAAATAAAAATTAAAAAATAAATAAATAAGAAATCGAGGCTTAGACATTAGGTCATTCAGCCAAGGCTGCAGTTCGTAAGAAGCAGAGCTGGAAATAGAACGATAGTTTCATAACCTTATTCTTCTCCATGCATTATGGCTTAAATGAGATCTGATTCCATGCAATTAACATTTGAGATTCTGGTGGTCCATTTTTAGACCAGTGGTCTGCCTTCTTTCCTCAAACATAAGAGCAGTCCAGAGAAAAGCCTGAGCTAGTGCATCACAGTAAATATATGCATTAGGGAAAGAAGGCTGAGAGGGAAGATCTTGGCCTATTCCTAAGAGAGCCGGTAACCCTAATAGTTACTTGGGCAGTGAATGTTGGTAAAATACTGTGTCTCATTCCCTGTTCCTCGGAGCTGCAAAGGCTGTTTTTTGGTAGAAAACCTCCAGGAAACTTCAGCTAGTTTCCTGTGTTGTGAGATGTTTGTGTCATACACTAAAATCACCAGCACCAGAACTTAATAAGAAAACAATTTATAAGGGCCTGGCTGTGGTGGTTATTAGTTAGCCTTTTAGAGAAGAGAAGTGAAGAGGTGGAGACTGAAACATCTGAACCACTAGGGAGCAGCCAGACCCCCTCCGATCTGTCTCCTGGCGGCCAGAGTTCGCTTCCTGCCGTCTGTCTGGCTTCTGACACAGGGTACAACTGACAAGTCTTGGGGAGAGTCATTTTTATCATAATTCTTGGTGACTTTGTTGAAACACTTTTGTATGGAGCTATTTTGAAGAACTTCTTTAATTCTTACTGTTCAAGGACTGTGTGCTTGTTGCGAAAAGAAGATACAAAAGTGATCAGAGTGAAAGTGGGAAAGCCTCCTCCATCTTCAGAAGTAACTGAGTGCAGTGTGTCAGGAAGGGTGCACGCTGGAGTCTCGAGATTTATTGTTTTTTTTGTCTTGTGACTATTGGGATGTTTCATGCTTACATGTGGCTGATGAGTTTGTTTTGGTGGAGAATTGGGATTTGATGTCAAAATGAGATTCTACGGAATTTATATGCAAATTCCCTCATTTTCTAATTCACAGGTTAAGATTCCATGGCAGCATGCTTAGATCTGTGTTTCCAGCTCGAGTGTCTAGTTAGAATTCAAAGGGTTCTTGAAATATTGAAAGACAAGGAAAGACTATCAAGCGTTAGAAATTTCAATGTTAAAAATTAATTCAGAACACTAAAAGTGCTGAGCTAGGGAAGCAGTACGCAGATCTTGTGAAGTGGGCACATGCACGGTCAGCGAGCTCCAGGAGAGGGCAAGGTGACTGGCAGTTCTGTAAACCTAAGAAATGGGAATGGAACTATCTCTCTGTACGCGTCAGGTGGTGGGAATTTATAAGATTGCTATTACTTTGTATTGATCAACATTTTAGGAAATTACATATCCTATTGTTAGTGTCAGCTGGTAAAGTATTTCTACTGGGCAGGTTGGTGTCCTGTATCAAAATTTTCAGCATTGGACCTACGAGGTGCACTCTTAGAAATTCAGTCTAAAAAGACTCTGAGCAAGCGTGCAGGTGCACACACAGCAAGGTTCCGTGCCAACAAGATCTAGAGTAGCTGAAAGGGAGAGAATTAAGTGAGTTGTTGTTTGGCATCCTTTTCACAGTATGCAGCCTTGAAAAATAAACACCCTGCAAAGCTCTGTGTGTGTTGTACCCTGTGCAGATCCTGGCAGCCACCGTGTGAGTGGGTGCTGTCATTACCCTCCACAGAACAGAAGCGAAATTGAAGGCGTAACAGAGCGGTGTGTTCTGTCCATGTTCGCATCACTTGTAAGTGTTGAGTCCGGATCTGACACCAACACTTGTATTTTTATCCATTAAGCCATAGTCCCTCCTCATAGAGGAGCCCATCGAGTGAAAGCAGTGGTGTGTGCTCTGCTTTACAGATGACGGACAACGTACAGAGATGCGGAGGAAGGGTGTTCATCAGAATACTGACTCTGGGTGCAAGACTATCAGGCAGTTGTTCTTTTTTATGCTTCATACAGTATTTTAAACATAAAATCTGTATTTTCCTGGTCCTAAAAAAGCCTAAAGGTTCCTTTTGGAGAGAAGATGTCCATACATCCCAGTAATTCTGTTTTAGGAATTTAATCAAGGAAATAATGTGTTCGGTACAAAGAACTTGTCACAGTGTTGTCTGCGATCAGATACAAACTAAACGCCTAGCCGGAGAAGAATTAACTAGTAACAGTGCTTCCTAAAATGGTGCATCTTGCAGCCAGTAAAAAACACGGAAGAACAAATGCACCTAACAAAAAGTTGATTTAAACTGTGACAGAAAAGACATATAGCACCAATTCTGTATCTTTTCTTAAGATGTTTTTATGCCAAGAGGATATCAGAGCGTTCACAGTTAGTTGCCCAAGGTAGCAGGCTGGGGGTGATTTTCGTCTGCATGCTTTCCTGGAACGTCCCAAGTTGCACAACACATGTGTATTCCTTCCATTTTAAAACGCTGTTTTGCCAGTGACGGGATAGTTAGCCAACGTGCGAGAGTCCGAGGGTGGAAAACATCAACGTGGACGGCCAGCCTTGGCACTCAGACCCGTAACCTCTCATCTCTGTGCAGGTGCCGGCTTGAGCGGGCGGCAGGTGCACCGAACACAGGCCGTGTTCAACCACACCGAGGACTACGTGCTGCTCCCCGACGAGAGGACCATCAGCCTGTGCTGCTGGGACTCTCGCACGGCCGAGCGCCGCAACCTGCTCTCCCTGGGCCACAACAACATCGTGCGCTGCATCGTGCATTCGCCCACCAACCCCGGCTTCATGACGTGCAGCGACGACTTCCGAGCACGGTTTTGGTACCGGAGATCCACCACGGACTAACCCGCCTCCAGGATCTAGGGTTCTTTTCTCGAGGACTGCGCCCCTCCTGCCCCCGCGCCCCGTCACCAGTTCCGGTCGTAAGTCACTGCACCACCTGGCAGTTGTGCTGCCATCTCTCCATCCTTCTTGGATTTGTACAAAAGAGTCTTTTTTTACCTTGATGTAGAATCATGGTGGGAAAAGTTGGAAACGCAGATCTGTGCAGTGGTTCTGCATTCACTGATTATTACAGTGTGATTTTCATCGGTTTTGTAAATACAGGACTTGCCATTTCTCTTGAATCTCTTGATCATTTGAAGAAGGATAGAGTATTAAAGTGCTTTCTAGATCTCAACTGAACCTGTCCCGAGGAATTTTCATTTGGCAGTTTTGTCACCTTTCGTACCTGTTCTCCACCCTCCTTGTCCATGTGTCTCCGTGCAGAATACATATCGACCGACAAGTGGGCACACAGCTCTGAGAATCGAGTGTTGTGCCGTATTAAAACTATTTTAGAGCATCCATCAGTTCTATCCTAAAATGACATCATTCTGATAATAAAGCTCAGATCTCCAACTTTAGTGTTATACTTTTTCACTTCGGTAAAATAACGGCCAGTTTTTCCTGAAGATTTGTAGGAGACAAGATGTTTCATTGTACCTCCCACATTGTCCTTTCAGTGCCTGCAGTGCTTATCTTCAGTGAATACTTCTAATAAGATTATTGCTGGTCTATAGAAAACCTAATTGAAGATCCATCCAATCTAATCAAAATTAGGTGATCCCGGCCACTGCTGCTCGCTCCACTGCTGCTCGCTCGTTTCACAGATGATTAATACCGATTGTCTCTGTTCTTGTGTAATTTTAATCTCGTTTTTCAGTTCTCTTCAGCATGAATCATCACTGCTCATCGTGGATGCGCACAGCAACTATGTTCTTGGAAGATTTTTGCAGTTAACCAACCGATGGGGGTTTTCTTTTTCTCAAAACTTTTTAGGATGTGACACTATTTCTCTGGATTCAGCTCAGGCTAGATCAGGGAACCCTAACCTCCCCTCCGAAAGATAGACTTTGGTTTATATTTATCCCCAAATACAAATACCTCATGATCTGGGTAGGAGTATCTAGAATTAGAATTTAGGGTCATTTGATAAAAATATTAAATAGATTAAAGTTAAAGTGTTTTATGTTATAGGAACTTTAAAATCTTCTGAGGTTTACTGCATAAAAATTCTTCCTCAGTCTGCCTTAAGGATCATTTCAAGTCTTTGGACTATGAAACCATCTTGGGCATTCTTAATGTGTTAAATCAGAGTTTTAGTTCAGATTTCCAAAGAGCGATACTTTTAGTCTATAGGGAGTTTGGATTTGTTTTTATTCTGTGTCTTGATTCTCCAGCATTTGAACTTGGCCATCTGCGGGTGCTGCTTTCGTAAGATTGGAAGAAACCTACTGACTAGGAACAAGAATAACCAGTTCTGTAGAAAATTACCAGCCCAAACGCCTCGCTTCTTTTTTGGCTGCTGCTTTTGCTTTCAACCCTATGAAACTACAACAGAGGTTGAACATTTCTGCCTCCTTCTGCTCCAGCACGCGCACTAGAGGGACCCCGAAGCATTCCCGATTTACGCTCCGCTGGGTCTTCTTAACTGTTGATGAATTTAAATAATGATGCCTGCTTCTCCAGTTTCTGGAACGGTCTCAGCGGTGGATCTGTAGTTTCAGGACTCCCCCTTACAGGATCAGGATACTGTGTGTGTTTCCAAAACAGACTCTTTTTTTTCTTCTTTTAAAAAATCACATTTTGGGACACCTGGGTGGCTCAGCCATTTAAGCCTCTGCCTTCAGCTCAGGTCATGGTCCCAGGGTCCTGGGATCGAGCCCCTCATCAGGCTCCCTGTTCAGCCGGAAGTCTGCTTCTACCATCCCCTCCCTACTCCTGCTCTCTCTTGCTATCTCTGTTGATATCTGTGTCTCAAATAAATAAAATCTTTTAAAAAATAAGATCACATTAATATTTTGAACTGGTGTAAAGGCCAGGAATATTACATGGACTTGACATCAGCATGTCATTAACTGTACCACATAACACCCTGGCCTTCACACAGTGAATAGTAAGTCAGGGTCAGAACTTAGAACTTCCGTGTTATTTTTTTAAAGATATGTGATTTCTAAAATAAACTTTTGTATATAATGATAATTTAAAGCTAGTTCATTTTTTTTTTTGGACCTTACTTTGAATGTTTCCATATTTAAACATGTATTCTCATATAGCAATTATGACTTTGGTACTTTTCATACTGTTTCTTTAGTGTTTTGTTCTAGAAGTCAGATTTTTTTTTTCAGCGTTCCAAAATTCATTGTTTATGCACCACACGCAGTGCTCCATGCAACCTGTGCCCTCCATAATACCCACCATCAGGCTCACCCAACCCCCCACCCCCTCCCCTCCAAAACCCTTGGTTTGATTTTCAGAGTCCACAGTCTCATGGTTTGTCTCCCCCTCCAATTTCCCCCATCCCACTTCTCCTCTCCATCTCCCCATGTTCTCCGTGTTACTCCTTGTGCTCCACAAGTAAGTGAAACCATATGATAATTGACTATCTCTGCTTAGATGTCAAATTTCTATAGCCAAACCTCCTTTAGCTATGTGCCTTACCTAAAACTAAATATAATTCCATATCTTTTGATGACTCAGAGAAACCAACCTTTCTCCTTAGACTTCAGTTGAGCCTAGGAAAGGTGATGTTGTGGGGTGGGGGAGGTGTCTCAGCAACAGATTTGGGGCGGGGGAGACTTCTGTTTCTGAAAATATGGTGAACCGGATACTCTCAGAACCCTCTCAGCACACACCTGTACAGAATTTATTTTTATTTTTAATCTCTAAATAGCTGAGCTAGCAATAAGTTCTCAGGGAATTTTTGAGAGGCAAAAGCAACCTGAGAGCTCAAATCTAGATAATCAGGAGCTATGGCGCAGCCATTTGCACTGAGGACATTTGTCAAGCCCCTGAAGCCGAATGATTTCTGAGCTGTGACCTCAGATGGTGGGAGCTTTGGTCCAGACCTGGAAGGAAAGCGTAGAACCTAGAAGGAGCCCCATTCCCTGAAAGGGTGAACTTGACAAAAACTATGCCTCCTGGGAAGAGGAAAGCTGCGTGACTGGGTGCTGGCTCGGGTTTGTGGGGCGGGTCTTCTCTAACAGTCCCATCTCACTTAAGGTGGGAACAAACAACTCGCACTACCTTTGTGGCTGGAGACAAGCAACCCAAGAGTCTAAAGCCAACACCAATGAAGGAAGAACACAACTTTCCCCCAGGCTCCAGTGCTCCCAGATCCAGCTCTGAGAATCACTGGGTCATAATCAAGTATGTAAGGAAACTGCCCCCATGAGGAGAAGCAGTAGAAACTAGACCCGAGAGTCAGACTTGAAGACTTGGAATTAATCAGATGCATGGTATGTGAGTACATTGACTATGAAGAGATGAAACAGGACTGAGAACCAAGAGACTTTAAAAAGTGACCAAGAGGGGCGCCTGGGTGGCTCAGTTGGTTGAGCGACTGCCTTCGGCTCAGGTCATGATCCTGGACTTCCAGGATCGAGTCCCGCATCGGGCTCCGAGCTCCTTAGGGAGTCTGCTTCTCCGTCTGGCCTTCTCTCTCATGCTCTCTCTCACTCATTCTCTCTCAAATTAATAAATAAAATCTTAAAAAAAAAAAAAAGTGACCAAGAGGATCTGGACAACGAAAACCTTATAGAAAATAATTAACGTTTTTTTTAAAGATCTTTGAAATTTATTTGATGGAGAGCGGAAGAAGCAGACTCCCTGCTGAGCAGACTCCCCCGCTCACATGGGGCTCCATCCCAGGACTCTGAGATCATGACCTGAGCTGAAGGCAGACATTAACCCACGGAGTTATACCCAGGCACCCCAATAGTTGACGTTTCTATAACTTTCATTCCTCGGGCTTTTGGCCTTTTTCTGGAGCTTTTCTACTTCACCTTCTGACTCCCTTGGTGGGTGTTCTAATCCTGTGAACCTCTTTCTCACTCACTGTTTGGCTGGCCGCTCACCTGACAGTAACCCCTTGCCTGTGGCCCCATGTGATGCCCCAGGATTTTCTTGTGTTCCTGCTAACACTCGGCCCATCTCCTCCAGCTTTTGGCCCCCTTGATGTCTTCAGCGTTTCTTTTGCATCCTGTTTCTCAAGTCGTGCTTTCTTTTCCCTCTCCACCATGGCATCAAAATTCAGACTACTAAACAGAGTCATCACTGACCATTAAAATCCCAGTCCTCCCTGTTTTATCTGTGCATTAGAGAATTTAGGTGAATTTGTTGACAATTTATGAAATTCTGCTTTCCCCAAAAGAGCTGTATTTGAGTTACCTTCTTGAGGTTAAAAGCTGCCAAATTACTAGATGATTTGAAAGCTGTGCAGTCTAGGGGCACCTGGGTGGCTCAGTGGTTTAAGCCTCTGCCTTGAGCTCAGGTCATGGTCTCAGGGTCCTGGGATTGAGCCCCGCATCGGCCCTCCACTCGGTGGGGAGCCTGCTTCCCCCTCTCTCTCTGCCTGCCTCTCTGCCTACTTGTGACCTCTCTCTCTCTCTCTCTCTCTCTCTGTCAAATAAATAAATAACCTTTTTTTTTTTTTAAAAAAAGCCATGCAGTCTGAAGTTTCCTGCTAAGCCTTTAATGCTTTGGACATTCTTCACCTGGTGTCCAGCTGCACTTTAAAAACTCAAGCACTGAGTGCCCAGCGTCCAAAGTCTACCCCTCAAGGAGCATGCTAGCCAGAAAGTCCACGTGAGAACAGTATAACGCAGACCCAAAACACAGTCCCATCTACAAAAGCAGTCTACCTTCCTGCACATTTATTAGGAGCTCTAGAAGTGAAGTGGTCAGATGCCCCAGGCTTTGAAGAAAAAATTCATCCAAAATACCGTTCACAGTAGCATTTGTCGAGAGAAGGAAGAAAATTACCTCATTAGAGTCTCGGACTCAGTTCCCTTGAACTGCAGCTGTTTCAACCTTCAGTCAGCGGGATGATACGAAAGCCACCTAATTTCCTGGAATAGCAAACTCTTGGAATATTTGTGCACAGGAGGACACTTTCGCCTAAAGAAGTAAATACGAATGGATTGCAGCAAAATGTCTAAGGGCTTTCATTCAGTAAAACGACAGGGCCAGATAGGAGACTGAGAAGCCAAGCCCCTCATTCACAAAATTCAAAACTAGGAGTCTGTGTAAGCGTGAGTCTGTTTCCTTTCGGGACCAAATCTGAGGCTTTTGTGACTTCATTCTGTTTCTTAATTTAGGTTGTTTCTCCTAAATAAGTAAATAAGATGTGCAAATTACAGCATTCTAATCTATATTGGGAACTCAAGAGTCAGCCCTTCAGTTGTGGGAAGGATCACTGTCGGGAGTTTGCGGAGATGGTGGGAATCGTCCAGACTGGACCTTGTGCGAAGTCCAGCTTTCTTCTGAGAGGCTTGGGTCTGGATTCTGCCTCAGTCCTATCACCGTGTGACCTTGAGCAAGTTTGTCCATCCTTTTTACTTCTTTTCAAATATATGTGAAGGTGCATTATACAATTTTTAAAAAAAACAATGATTGCCAGGAGCTGGAGTCCATCAGAAGGATGAGGAGTGACTGCTATGGGTATGGGTTTCTTTCCAAGGCGATCAAATCTTCTCAAATTAGAGAGTGCTGATGGTTGCACAACCCTGCATATACCAAAAACAAAGAAAAAAAAACACTGAATTGTGCTCTTTAAAAGGATGAATTTTGTGGTACGTGAATTCTATATTAATAAAGCTGTTGTTTTTGTAATTCTATGTCAAGAGTACAATATAATGAATTTCCATGTAGCCATCACACAGACTCCCCAGCCAGCTACTCATAGCTCATCTTCTTCTACCTATACCTCTAGCCACTTTCCCCTCTCCTGAATTATTTTGAAGCAAATCTCAGATCTTTATCTGTCATTATTCCAGTATGTATGCCTGAGAGATAAGGACTTTTTAAAACAAAATCAGGACATAATTACCACGAAATAGACACAGAAGCCTCAAATTGAGGTTAATGGATTCCCACCCTGGAAGCCTGAACCTCAGCCTGAGCCCAGCGGTGCCTGCATCTTCCTCATCTGAGATTCGGAACGACTCACGCCCACCAACACAGACATGCAGTTTAGGGCCAGAAGAAAGGAGCGAAGAGACACACCCCAGCAAAATGTCCAGATTCACATTCAACAACATGGACATCACGTGCCATTTTGTCCAGGCCTTTGCCTGCCAAGCATCACCCGCTGTGCGCCTCGCAGGAGTACCGCTCCCATTATTTGTCCTATCTGTAAAGACCAACGGGATAAAATCTGTCGGCTAGTCCAGACTGTCACTCAAAACCTCAGCCCTTATGACTCATTGCTCTTCCACTGACCCCGCTTCCTTGCCTTAAATGGAACTTGCTAATTCCATCTCTTTCTTTGCATATTCATGGCATTGCAGCTGGGAGCGATTTCTGCCTCTACTGATCTGCCCACGCCTCTCCTATCCTACCTTCCTCACGAAACCTTCCCTCAGTTACTCCCCATTCTCCCATCTCTGTCGTCCTCTCTATGAATCTCCGCTTTGAACTTGCTGCTAAGCCAGCTCGTGTTCTCATCCTGTGGGGTCGTTGTTCCCTCCCTGTTGATCGGCTCCCATCTGTGACACGTCAGTCACTTGGCCCCAGGAGTTAACTTCCAACAATGATAACAATTTAAAATATGAATTGTCTCAGCCAGAAATCAGCCGGCTATTTCCAGTAAATCCTTCCTGGTGCTCAGAAGTGGGAGCGCTGACTACGCAGGGGTGGATACCCAGCAGACCAGGCAGTGAGGGCCATAATGGCAGGAAGGTAGCAACGGGGAGAGACAAACTGTTGGAGGTGTAACCTGAGCCAGGCTCAGAAGAATGGGTACCAGCTCATGGTACTGTGACTGTGCCTAGCAACTCTTCCCTGTATGTCCTCTCTGAACGTTTACTCTGAATTCAGGGAAAGTAAAAATACTTAGCAGGTAATGCTGAACTGCACTGAGCCAATGCTGTGGTTTCAAGTTCAGATGATGGGTGGGGAGATTTAAGAGACAATTTAAGAGATAAGAGAAAAGTGCTCAGCAGAGAGCCCCGGTAAAGAGTCAGCACTCGGAAAATGTTCATCATGAAGTTTTGTGAGCCAAGACCAGGAGGTGGGCCTGGGTGGGCTGGTGAGCAAGGAGCAGTATGTATCAGAGGAGAGATGTGTCGGAACGGGGTCCTTTAGGGCATCCCCCTTGACTTGTTTTCTCCCAGCTGTTTGTGGGGCAAGTTTAGGAAGCAGGAAGGAAGGGAGGCTGACCACGATCACAAATTAGCGGCCTCTAATCAGAAAAATGAACTTGCTCTGTCTGGTGGAAGTTGTTCATAGTGTTTGTGGGGACGAGAATGCAGAGCGTTCATACGCTGAGCTTTCAAAGTAGGAACTTCACCCTATAAAGCAGAAGAGCGTTTTTTTTTTCATCTTTTGTGGTTTCACATAGCTTAAGTGTGACAATCCCTACTTATAGACCAAGTGAGAGGCCAGGCATTGAGGAGTGAGTGTGGCCTGGATTTCTGTCCCCTCTCCATCATCCCTTTTATTTTACTCTTATCGTGCTTTCCAGAAAGTTTGCCTGCTGGGAGAATTGTTTTGACAGTTTCCCGTGTTGTCAGATAGCTCCACAGAATTCAGTTTCTGAGAACAGGCCAGAGGCCTGCAGTGACATTGCATAATCCTCCTCTGAAGCCGGAGATATCAGCCGGAGAGCTCACGGGAGCTGTTTCACGCCAAGATGGAAGGAGCAGGCATCACGGATGGTATGCCCAAGGTGAGTGATGGGGACTGTTTGGAGGGGCAGAGGATGAAACACCCTGTTATGGCTAAGGACAGTGACCAATTTTCACTCCAAGTTTCTAATGAAGTTGAAAGGTGAATAGTAGTAACATGTGAGTTTGAGATGGAGAAGTTTAACTAAGTCTAAGTGTGGAAAATATATGTGTTCTAAAGCCTCTGCCAGTTTGATTCAGAGATGGATGAAAATGACTTCCTAGCAGAAGCCAGATTGTGGAGTTGATGATACAACCCACCCATCCCTTTGCGTCCATTCACCTTCTAACAAACTTCTTGAGCAAGATGTGAGTCTCGGCCTCCGCCCATGCTGACCTCCCTTCTCTCTGGACCCTGCAGACAATTAGTGTCACTCCCAGGTGTCCTGGTTGATTTTGTGTTCCTTCCCAAGAGCAGAGTCTAGATCTGGCTTCAGCCTCCGGTGAGCTGGGTCCACAGGGAACATTCTGCTCACTAATTCCCGAGAACTTTTGTACTGATACTTATGAGTGGGGCTCAAGTCTGTGTCATGAATCAAAAAAGATTCACTATTTAGAAAGTTGTGTCGGCTGCTTTAAAGGAAAAACAGCTGGGACACAAGGAAAATGAAGCTCAAGGATGATCTTGCTACACCTTTTTAAAATGTGCAGTAGAACAGGAAAAAAAATGAAACAGTTACTAAAGGGGAAGCTTGTTTATATGAATTACAAATATGTTACTTAGTATTAAAATAATAACAATGGATGTCACCAGTGGAATTTACTGCCGAATAACCTATGACGGCCCCACTCATATGGATTGTGTGTAAATATTTAAGGAACCCTGGAATTTTATACACAAGTATTTTCTTTGAAAAAATTTTAAACCTTTAGAAAACTGGGGGGAAAAAGTAATTCAGTAAATCCCTGCGTAGCGTTTACCTAGATTCACTGATTCCTGGCACTTTGCTACATTTGTCTGCCCCTCCTTGCGTGTATTTACAGAGGTGTGCACACACTTTGTTGTTACTGTTACACCATTTGAAAACCGATTGTGGGCATAATGACATTTCACCCTAAGGGACGCTTCACATCAATATGTATCTCTTAAAAACAAGGACATTCTTCTGTACAACTCCAATCTGATCACAGGCAAGAAAATTTAACGTTGAATTGATAATGTCCTTCTAACACTAAGTCCATACCAGCAGCAGTAGGGCAAGAACCCACGTCTTCAACTCCTAGTCCAGAGGCAACCTCAGCTCAGGGACGCCTACAAAACATATCAATGCACGTATGATATAATATACTTATTTAAAGGCTTTCTACAAGTAAGAACACTAATGGAACAACTGTTGAGCTTCTCACCTTTTACAATGAGCAATACCTATTAGAGTTCCATTTATTTTAGCACAGTTGATCTCCTTTGTTAATTAATTGCTTTTTATTAGAGGGACACCATGCAGTCAGGGGTAATACCATGTAAGTGGTTCTCAGCTTTCAGTGCATTTGGCTTTGAAGCATCCTCAGGTTCATCGAGGGCACCCTGGAATGCCTCTCATACCCTGAAGGTGGCCTGCGGACAGTGGGGGGTGACCGTGACTGCCTATCATGCTGTCCCCTGGTGCTGCTGCTTGTCACCCAACTGTTCCGTGTCAGTAGAGTCTTCGCCTTTGTGACCAGCAGCCTTTGTGTAGTTGTCTGACTTTGATTAGGTTTTCCCTAATTCTCACATAAAACCAAAAGAAAAATGGAAAGTAAATAAGATGATATTAGTGTCAGGAAACTTGGGGAGTGGTACATTTGCAACAGAGGTAGTAGCGCATCATGGGTGGCAAAGTGCTGCCTCTAACACGTCATTCATTGGCTTACTGGACAGCAGCTGGTTGCCTCCATGTTCAACTCCATTCAAGAAATGCTGGAAAGTGAGGTCTAAAAGGGTGAGTAAGTGATTTTATTATATGTAAAGCCTTGTTTGGGATTTCAGGTAGTTTTACAAGTGCCTTATTTATGAAAACAGAGTTTGCGTGTACTTAAGTGACGGGGTCCCGTGTGTTACAAATTGTATTCACTTCTGAGTGTGTGTGTGTGCCCGTGCACACCATTAGAGCTGATGTTGAAACTGGCATCTTTGGGCACAGACATCAGTCTCACTGGAACTGAAGGAGAGTCAGATAAGCATGGTATTTGTTTTCCTTCACTTTCTGAGAATTTCTGAAATTTGATTCTATTTTATACCTACTTTCTCACAGTATTTTCTCTACGACCTGCACTTTCTCTCTTCTGTCAATATGGCTATAGGCTCACTTGGTTTTCTGAAAGGAATTTTCAGACAAGTATCTTTCCCCTGTTTCTGAAGGGTGGTTGTCCAGAGAACTGATCAAAATAATACTTACGTTTCACGCACATTTAAGTGTTCTTAGATGTCCTTAACATTTCAGGTTCCACCTCAAGTAAAGAGCAAATATCCTTTGGCCCTCTTCCATCCCAATTCTGGGTGGAGCGGTCCTCCAGCCACTCAGGGAAGGGCTCGGTTAAGATCGCCAACATTTCCAGGGCTTGTCTAGACACGGGCAGGCCCAACAGCTAGGCGGTGCATCTGTCGCTTGCCCAGACTGAGCGTGCCTCGGTGCCTCCGGACAAGAGCATTGGGGATGTCACTTGCAGGCGGGGAGAATTGCAGGCTCTCCTTGTGCCTTTAGGACCTCTGAGGTGGGAAGCAAGACATTTTAACTCAGTCTTTGTTGAGGAATGGCAGCGGGAATGTGTGCAGAGAACTTACTACGGCCACAAGGCCAGCCTGACCTCCTCCCGCCAAATCCCCCACCTCACTGCCTCCCCTTCCCCCGCCTTGAGATGCTCCATCTGGGGGCTGGATGCCTTGGGGCTTCCCCACAAGCATCTTCCACACTCGCTCACTCACTCACTCATTCGCTGGACCCCTCTCTGCACCTCCCACCCAAGGCACCTCCCCAGCCACACCCTCCCTGGTCATTCTCGGCTTCCTCCTCCTCTTCATTTATCAACGTCTGAAATCATCTTTCCCAATTGTTTCTCCCTTTATTCATCATCTGTCGTCCCCTCTGGAGCATCAGTTCCACAAGGGACAGACCTGGGCTTTCTTTATTCTTTTTTTTTATTTTATTTTTTCAGTGTTCCAACATTCATTGTTTATGCACCACACCCAGTGCTCCAGGCAATATGTGCCCTTCTTAATGCCTACCACCAGGCTCACCTAAACCCCCTTCCTGCTCCCCTCCAAAACCCTCAGTTTGTTTCTCAGAGTCCATAGTCTCTCATGGTTCATCTCCCCCTCCGATTTCCCCCAATTCACTTCTCCTCTCCATCTCCCTATGTCTTCAGTGTTATTCCTTATGCTCCACAAGTAAGTGAGACCATATGATAATGGACTCTCTCTGCGTGACTTATTTCACTCAGCATAATCTCCTCCAGTCCCGTCCATGTTGATACAAAAGTTGGGTATTCATCCTTTCTGATGGAGGCATCATACTCCATTGTATATATGGACCACATCTTCCTTATCCATTCGTCCGTTGAAGGGCGTCTTGGTTCTTTCCACAGTTTGGTGACTGCGGCCATTACTGCTATGAACATTGGGGTACAGATGGCCCTTCTTTTCACTACATCTGGATCTTTGGGATAAATATCCAGTAGTGCCATTGCAGGGTCATAGGGAAGCTCTGTTTTTAATTTCTTAAGGAATCTCCACACTGTTCTCCAAAGTGGCTGCACCAACTTGCATTCCCACCAACAGTGTACGAGGGTTCCCCTTTCTCCACATCCTCTCCAACACATGTTGTTTACTGTCTTATTGATTTTGGCCATTCTAAGTGGTGTAAGGTGGTATCTCAATGTGGTTTTGATTTGAATCTCCCTGATGGCTAGTGATGATGAACATATTTTCATGCGTCTGATAGCCCTTTGTATGTCTTCTGGGCTTTCTTACTCAGGGCTGGGCCTCCAGTGCCTACAGCAGTGCCTGCCCATAGATGCCCAATAAACACTTTGAGTATGTGTGTGAATAAGTGGGAGGTCACAGAGAGTGCAGATGGAACACTTGCGACATAGCCCTGCCCTGCCACAAGGTCAGAGACAATACTTCCTAGTTGTCAGACACCTGGGAACTGAGGCCACCACGACTCTAAGCTCCCTAACCCCTACCTGGCCCCAGACTGACCCACTCAGCCTAGACTCTCGAGAACTGGCCCCCTTCTCACTCCCATGGTCAGATGTTGCCTTAGATCTGAGCCTTTGTAGCTGAAGTCAAGGTCACAAGGACCTGCGGCCTCCCCATGACCTTGTCCAGCAGTTCCATCCCTTTACCTGCCTCACAAGGCAAAACATCCCAGATATGACAGCCAGCTTGAGAACACAATTCATTGTCCACCGTTTAGCCATCTACCCAGCAATGGGATCCAATGTAGTTATTGGATCCTGGCGTTTGGATGATCAACACAGAGCTGATGTTCTAGTAGGGCCAGAAAGTCAGTAGATGAGTAACTGGACACAATGATTTCAGCGGTGATAACTGCCATGAAGAAAATAAAACAAGGTGATCTGATAGAGGTGATGGATAGAGAGGGCCTCCCCGGAGACCTGCATGATGGCAGAAGCATTCCAGGCAGAGGAGACAGCAAAGGCAAAGGCCCTACAGCGGGAAGAGATTTAGCCTGTTGGAGGATCCGTAAAAAGGCCAACGTTGTTGGGGCAGAGGGACAAGGAGAGAGAGTGGGCAGAAATGAGATTGGAGGGAGAAGCAGGGTCACGTTCACTTGGGACCTTGTTGGTCCTGTAAGATCTTTGAGGTGCATTCTAACTGCAAAGGAAGCCACTGGCCTATTTAAAGAAGATGACATGGTCTGATTTATGTTTCTAAGACATCACTCAGGCTGCTATGCAACAAATGGATGTTGGCCAAGAAGAGCAGAAGCGGGGAATGAGTCAGGAGACAAGGGCGGGTGGTCTCTCCTTCCATTTTGCAGGCCACCATGCTGTTCTCAGT